CGAGTGCTCCCCAATTGACCTTGGTGTCTCCCAAGGTCTACAGTCACTTCATCCCTAGGATGACATATGTACTCCGTAACTCCAGCGGAAGAAAATCTTCCCTCACCTAAATCCCCTATATGGGCAATAACACTCTTATACATATTCGCTGGCCTTTCTCCACCTTCCCCGTACCCATCATCACCTCATAATAACCAGTATCCACCAATTTCACTCCTAATTGGTCGACGACTTGAGTGGAAATGAAATTTTGGGTAGCCCCACTATCAACTATCACCACCACCTCCCTGTCCTCTATCTCCCCCTTCACCTTTATGGTATGATTCGTAGTGAATCCTACCACCGAGTTCAGGGATACCTCGGCCATATCCAAATGTATATGATAATCGCTCCACCCTACTTTTAAGGTGCTCAAACCGCCAACGATAGTCTGCTGCTTATCCCTCCTGCACCAAAACAAAGAACTGCTCATAGAGGTCTCTTCCCTGGTCGATTTGAAAATGTTCTATTATGCAATCCTTGAATTCCCCCAACTCCTAATAGGTCCCCTATGGTCTCTCCACTGGTACCATGACAGCGCCTTCCCTTCCAAACACAAGCCTGCCGCTGCCAGCTTCTCCTCCTCCGTTAGCCCATTGACGGCGAAGTACCTCTCCACCTTATAAATCCACTCATATGTATCCTCCCCTTCAAATATGGGCATCTTCAGCTTCCTCACCTTCTGATCTCCCCCCTTTCACTGTATTCCTCTATAGCTTCACCTTTTCCAAGTGTTTGGCCCTCCCTATGTTTCCCGTTCTTCCCTTGCCCTGTTATAACACAAACCCCCTTCAGATTCCCCTCTCCTTCCTTCAAATTCAGTACCTCGACAGTCATAATAAACCTCCAGGCATTCCCAATCAGCACCTCTTTGCTCCTCCCCTCCATACCCATGTCTTTCCCCATACCTACCTCCTATATCATCCCTCTGGAAAGGCTCCATAGAGGGTTTCCTCTTTCTCCCTCCACGATCTCCACCTCATTTTCCTCCCTACGATTTTCAGAATTCACACTTTTCCCTTCCGTCCCTTTTACCACGGACATCGTCGTTTGGTTATAGATTTCCAACATTTTCCTCATCATGTCCCAGAGATCGACTACTTGTCTTTCCATGGAGGAAATCCTTTCCTCTACCATTTTCTTGATTTGGTTTATCTCCCCTTCAAGTCTTTCTTCCAGCGCATCTACTTTCTTGGCCACCATCTCTATCCAAATTTTTGTAGATTCAAAAATTCTGGATTTGGATCACAAAAATAACTATCTCCTTTACCGGCCAAAAATCAACCGCGAAAATTCGCCAAAATCAACCCACAAACGGTCCCAAGACTTGCTCTGATACCAATTTGATAGAAAATACTTGAGTTCGCAAGTAATCTAAGAGGAAATATTTGAGTTCACAAGCAACCCTAGCAATAATTGGCCAAAAACAATGAGAAAATAAGAAAAATATAGATGAAATCAATCTAAGAGCAATAGATTGCAATATAAGAATCAAACCAAATAAACTCCAAGCAAGATACAATTAATCCTCAATTCGAGAGGAGGATCGTCACTTCCAAATCTCTAGATTGTGAATCTAGAGCCCAAGACACCAAGGAGACTCCAAAAGAACGACTCAAATTCATGCATAACCCTATCCCTAAACAAGCCATCATATTAATACATTAATTCCCTAATTCAAACATCCTTAATTCAAAATTTCCATCTCACCCTAGCCGCCCAACCCCCTTTCCTTAATTTTTTTCCTAGTGGGACCCACTAGTTTGGCCGGCAAGAAGAAAGGGAGGCGGCACTTGTCCACCTCCTGTAAAAATGGAAAAATTATTATGTCCGTACATAATACCAAGCATACCGAGTGCAGTACTGAGCACGGTACCGAGCACCCAAGTGATGTGGCGCTTTGTTATTGGTCTTTGGACACGTTTGGTGTCCGGACACAATAATTACTCGTAAAAATGAAGCAACTTTTGGGCCGGTTCATATGGCCTAACATCTTCATTGTGACAACATTTCCATCATTGCATTAACAAATAACCCAATCTTCCATTCTAGCACAGAACACTTCGAGATAAACAATCAATTAATTTAATTGCTCTGATGAACCAGTATGTATCTTCAACTATGTTGCACCGATACACCTATTTATGAAGGCATGCTGTATCTGATACACCGATACACGGATACGCCTCCGATACACCACCGATACGTGTCGGATACGCCAAAGCCGTATCCAATTAAAATACTATTTAATTTCAAAAGGACACGCGTATCCGATACGCGTGTCCGTTGAAAAAAAAAAAGACGTATCGTATTTACTTCTGCGGTTGCGAGCAAGATTCTCTCATTTCCGAGATGGATTTGAGTCTCTTGATGATATGAAAATATTAAAAATTACTAATCTTTCACTTGATGAGCCTGAATTAGAAGTTATGATATTTATTGAAGATGATATAGAAGTTCAAAGACAAACCAATGAAGAAGATAATTATATCATTCATTCTATTGAATAGTTGAAACTTCATGTGCTAGATAATTTATGTTTATGCTTTTGTTGTTGTACTAGACATTTAATGCTTAATTATATATTGATATTATAAGCTACAAGGCTACAAATCATGTTGTTGTCATTTTTTTTTGTAATTTCAAATATTATGCTTTGATTGCTTTCTTAATTTTTATGTATGATTTATAAATTAAAATGCCGTGTCCGCGCCGTACCCGTATCCTGTATTTTTAAGAATTGACGTGTCCCGTATCCATATCGTGTCGTATCCGTGTCGCCGTATCCGTATCGGTGTAACATAGATCTTCAACTAACAATACAAGGCACAATAATAGATGCAAAACTGACGGTTACTTTTAACAATGATAACGGAAGAATGAAGCGAATTATATTTAATTTCCTGAATATTTTCTCATTACTCACACACTGATTTACTAAATAAAATTTACGAATTTTAAAAATTATTTATAAATAATTACATTGCATTGTCCACTTAAATGTCATCTCAAATCTTACAACAAAGAACAAATTAATAAATACTAATTAGAATATTTTCTACTAAACTGATCCTTTCAAAACTCAAATTAACAAATTTCTATCATTAACAAAATTATAATCAATGTAATAAAAAAATTGAAAAATAAATTAAAATAAAAAAGAACTCCAATAATCTTCAAAAGTTTTTACTCTGCTGCTTAAAACTATAGCTGTAATATGTGATTTGCCTCGGCTGTCTCATTCTCACACCCGCAATCTCTCTATTTATGGCCTTGAACTTGGTGTCTTAATTGATTATCCCTGCCCACTACGTCATGCTTGGTTAAATCTATCCAATCTTAGTGACTCACTACCAATGATGCGATTCAAGCCGGTGATTGCGTGTAATTGCATCTCAAAGGGCATCTCCAACCAAAAATCTCATTTTCATTTCAAAATGGAGTGAAACTAAAAAATGGTGTGATTCATTTCCGATCGAACTCCATTTTGCGCCCATTGCAGAAGATAACTGTCTTTCTCCGCTTTCGCGTTTTTCTTCGACAAATCCGATAGAGATGGAAAAATAACGCAGGTGAACAGTGCAATGCCAATATTGGTGTCGCATTATTCACCCACAACCAAATACCGGAAGTTTTACCGTTTGGCTGGAGCGAACGAGCGACGCCATTCATGTGTTTGAAGTTCAATTGGAGAAGGTCATAGTGCGAGTGACCCAAGCCTATTGCGCCAAATAAAATGGCCAATTTAATGTGCATGAGCTAAATTCACCACACTAATTGGCGCATTAGACCTATTTCTACAGCATATGTTACACATTATGGCGTATTTGGCGGAATGCACTATACATCTTGACAAATTTCTCGTATGTCGCTGTTTTATAGAGTTACACTACTGATTTACTTATTTGGTCCTTTCTAAATCTCCTCATAATTAGGCTCCTTTTGCTAATTTAACCATTCGTTAAGCTCCTTTTATTTAATTTGCTTTTGTATCTCCCATGTCCTAACAAAGTGAGACATTAACCACCTAACAATTCAGATTGCCAGTGGTACTTATATCCGTGCCACACAACTCCACAAGTAGCATGTGCCCGGGTATGGGTAAATTATTACGTGCGGCGTCCGGATTCATCCGAAGGCGAATCCGGGCATATCAAATCACTCCGACCCCATCGCATCCGGGTGATGTGGCGTGTCCGGATTCGCCTCAAGACGGTTCGGACACCGCACATAATAATTTGCCCCGGGTATGGGGCTCGACAGGAAGTCTTGGCGGCGAATGTTCGAAATGTGCCCAGCTATAGGGCTGGAACAGAAGACTGGGCGGCGATGTTCGTGGCGATCTGTTGGATGGTGGGTTTGGGTGAAAAATGGAATAGGAAAGGTCCAAAAAAGTGGAGGGAAAGAAAAGACTGTCGACAGGAGAGGTGTTTGATGGCGTCGGAGCAACACCTATGGGTTTGATGCTGACGACAATTTTTCCGCCGCCACAATCCTCTATTACGCTACTGCGCAGTTTGGTTACTTTAAAAACCCGATTGTACATATGAGATGGCTTTTTATGCCAATATCCAACTACTTTGTTTACCGTTGAATACTGGATATCGACAACAAATATGGCAATGAGCGAAGCGGGAAGGCCAACGGAAAAAATGCCAAAAGTCCTCATACCCCACGGTGCTGTTGCGGAGGATATCGATGCGGTTGATCCATAGGGTTTTTGAAAATTAACATTTACATCGTTATAACATGTCTAGATGAACCAAGCAATCCTAAAAGGTGACTGAAACGAATTGGAATCGAAATCAAAAGAAACATGAATCAAGGAACATCGAATTAAATGCGCTTACCCATAAATTAGGACCCATTATCAAAACTCGAAAGTATATTAACAGAATAAAGAGCGATATCCATAGCAATTTCCAAAAAAAAAAAAAAAAAACTTGACAAAATCTACTCACTTGTTATCCTCTTTTCTGCATTTTTAAAATCAAGACAAACGCTCCTCATCATCATCACCATCCTCCTGTCCAATCTCCGCCTCCGTTAGCCGGAATCTCATCACATCCTCGACCGCTGCTTTCCTAAACATTCCAACATCCACTGCCCCAGCCACCATATGATATCCCCTCATCTTCATGTCGCCCGGCGGATCAAACGGCATTGCAAAACCCGAGAGATATGGTGTCGAAGCCATCTCCTTACCCGCCTTTCTCAGCGCTAACACTGTCCTCTCCACCTCCCGTAGCATCGCCCTCACCTTCCGGTTTCCCGGATCACACAAATAGCCCATGCTCGCGCTCAGATCCAACGGTCCCATCTGCAAACAATCCACACCGTCCACAGCCGCGATCGCCACGATATTGGATGCCGCCGTCACACTCTCAATCTGGCACATAATCAGAAGATCCTCCTCACAACAAGTGAGGTAACTGTCGTCGATTCCGTAAGCAGAGGCCCGAATGACCGTATGAGCAGAGCCGCGGACGCCGCGTGGGGGAAAGCGGCAGAAGGAGATGGCGAGCTCGGCGGCTGTGGCATCTTCGATCATCGGGAACATGAGCCCCTGTGGTCCGAGATCGAGGGCTTTTTTGGCCCAGCTGGCGGAGGTTTCAGGAAGACGGAGGACTGCGGCAGTGCCGGTGCTGGCAAGGGCTCGGAGACATGGGAGGGCATCGGATATGCCTCCAGGGCCGTGCTCCATATCGACCACAACGTAGTCATATCCAGCCAATCCAGCTATTTCGGCGAGGGTAGGGGAGGAGCTGAGGAGGAAGAGGCCGTAGAGGGTTTCGCCGGCAGCAAGGCGAGATTTGAGGGATCGAATTTTCGGGACGAAGGGAGAGAAAGAGTCGGGGAGGGAGGAGGATGTAGGCTTTCGAACATTGGGGAATCGTCGACGGGTATAGGAGATCGAGATAGATTGGGCGTTTTGGTTACTGCGAACGGAGAAGGTAATATTGAGAGTGTTTGGGGTGCTTATGGTTATTGGGAAAATGGAGGTAGATTTTGTTGGCAATTCCATTGAGGGTAAGGATGATATCGTCGACATTTGGATGTCTTTGCATGCTCCACCATCGGAGGAACGAAAGTACAGTGGCTTTTCCCCCTGCTGCCGCCCAAAGATTAAGGGGCGTTTGGCAACAGGATTTGAGCAGCCGGTAGATCTCACGGCGGAATAAATCCTCCTTTTCCCTCTTTTTACCGTAAAGAAGATGCGCGCGAAAGGGAGAAAGATAGTTACATTCACGGCGAGCGAGCACCCGTCGCTACTTCCGATCCAACAGCAAGAACGGCGAACTGGAAGCTTGTCATCGAAGGAGGCGAAGAAAACTGTTAGCGACTCGTCCAAAACCCTACCTCACGATCGAACAGCAACGGAGAAATGAAGAAGAGCAGTAAGACGTACAAATTACTGAGGAAATCGAAAAAGAAAGGTAGGAATTAATTTAAGTAATTTAATAGAAATTAAAATTAAAAAAATAATTTGATAATTTATATTATAAATTACAATTAAATAGTTAATATTTTAAATAATAATTAGATAACAATTCAAAATAGTAATAGTAGCTATATAATAAGTTAAGTTATGAATATTTATAATAGTTGATACGTCCTCAAAAAATTATTTGGATCGGGCATAAATCTCGATGCAAAATAAAGTTGGAAACTTCAAAAATTATTTTGGAGACCATCCGAACTCTGATTTCAACAAACTTACAGTTGAACTGAGCGTCTCGGAAATACGAACCCACAAATTGGATTACCAAACGGTTTCCAAACATAACCAGCTTATACTCGAATCGCGCGCCTCGACGAGACGAATCCAACGAGCCCAACATCGCTGAATTCCGACATCATTAAGGCCTTCAATTGTCTAAAGAACGGTGTATGACCAAGGGATTCAACATCGGCCGTTCATCCGACCACTCCTCATTTACCCTTGATCTCTCACCTATTTACAGGCCATGCCACTCCATAAATCTATAAATAGAGCCCCCTCTCCTCTTAAAAAGGGGATCCCGAAGCCTAAGGGAAGAAGAGAGAGATCGGAGATCGCTCTTGCTTCTTGGCCTCCTCGACCACCACCTGAGTTTCGTCGGACCACCGCCGAAGTTCCGACGAACGCACCACTGGTCCACCACCGCCGGACTTCTGCCGCACCACCACTTGAGGCCCTTACCTCCGTCTGACCACCACCTAACGTCGTTGCTCCGCCGGACCACCACTTGAGGCCCTCACCTCCGATATACCACGCATGACGCCGTTGCTCCGTTGGACCATCACTTGAGGCCCTCGCCTCCACCGGACCACCGCCTGACGCCCTTACTCCGCCGGATCACCACTTGAGGCCCTCACCTCGCCGGACAACTGCCTGACGCCGTTGCTCCACCGGACCACCACTTCAGGCCCTCACCTCTGCCGAACAACCGCCTGACGTCGTTGCTCCATCGGACCACCGCCTGACGTCGTTGCTCCGTCGGACCACCGCCTGACGTCATTGCTCTGCCGGACCACCACGTGAGGCCCTCACCTCCGTCGGACCACCGCCTGACTCCTTTGCTTTGCCGGACCACCACTTGAGGCCCTCACCTACGCCGGACAACCGCCTGACGTCGTTGCTCCGCCGGACCACCACTTCAGGCCCTCACCTCCGTCGGACCACCGCGTGACGTTGTTGGTCCGCCAGACCACCACTTGAGACCCTCACCTCCGTCGGACCACCGCCTGATGTCTTTGCTCTGCCGGACCACCACTTTAGGCCCTCACCTCCGCCGGACCACCGCCTGACGTCGTTGCTCCGCCGAACCACCACTTAAGGCCCTCACCTCCGTCGGATCACCGCCTTACGTCGTTCCTCCTCCGGACTACCACTTGAGGCCCTCACCTCCGCCGGACCATCGCCTGACGTCGTTGCTCCGTCGGACCACCACTTAAGGCGCTCACCTCCGCCGAACCACAACCTGATGCCGTTGCTATGCCGGACCACCACTTAAGACCCTCACCTATGCCGGACCACCTCATGACGCCCTTGCTCCACCAAACCATCACTTAAGGCCCTCGCTTCCACCGAACCACCGCCTGACGTCATTGCTCCGCCGGGCACCACCTGAGGCCCGGACTTATACCGAACCACCATCTAAGGCCTGGACTTCCACTAGACCACTACTTGAGGCCCGGACTTCCGTTGTACAACCACTTGAGACTCTATGCTCCACCAAGCCACTACCTGAAGCACGGACTTCTATCGGACTGTCACTTGAGGCCCCGAGCTCCACCAAGCCATCACCTGATGCCCATAGTTCTACCGAAGTACCATCCTTATACTACGATCTTTCAGACTCCTATCTTATGCCGACTACGGTCCTCTCGACCTCCATCGCCTACTATGGTCACTCCGACCTCCATCACCAGACAACGATCTTTCAGACCCCGGTCTTCTGCCAACTATGGCCTTTAGGACCCCCTTCTCGTGCCAACTACGACCTTTACAACCAAACAAACATGTATATTATTGTAACTCCCACTATATAATGCGCTCTATATGATGTACATTTGTACCATCAAGCCAAGGCCTTCTCCCAAGGAAGGGCCTCATTTGTAATCGACTGTAAATACTAGTGGATTCATTCAAACTGGGCCAGGCCCCATGGTTTATCCCCCTTTTTTAGGGGTTTTCACCTAAAAACTTTGGTGTCTCTTATAAATGTTGCACCCTCTCTCACTTATCTGATTGTGTGTTGGATCTTCATACAATGCAAAGACGTTAAATTATAAATTTCTCTACCATCGCGAATACTCCAGGACGCAACAGTTTGGCGCCGTCTTTGGGAACCTGGTTCCTGATTGGGGGGCAATTTTTTGCTTCCAACCTCAAAAGGACACTCATGTCAACTTCTTGACATCAGTCATTACTTCATCAATTTCAGATTCGAACTGGGGGGCAACTTTGACTCCATATATGGTTAAGAAGATCCCTCAAATGATTTTAATATCAAGATGATCATTTAGGAAAATCTCAGCAAATGTAAGGATAATTCCGATCAATAATTAGCTTCATGCAGTTCCCTGCTGAACTTCTACTCCTTGGGCAATGTCTTGATCTCGACCTTAAAAAGACAGTAACGGTCTAAAAATAGGCCGTTCTTCACCTTTGATTTGGGATACAGACGGCATTCTCCCCCTCCTAATCATGGCAAAATCGGTCCTAGGGGGATACAATTCGACCTCTTCCACACAGGTTAACGTCATCGAGCAAAGTCTCTGACATACAACCTCGGATAGGGATTATATCCTTGATGGATTCCCTCGACCTCTTTCACACAGGTTAACGTCATCGAGCAAAGGCTCTGACATACAACATCGGATAGATTTTATATCCTTGGTGGATTCTCCCGACCTCTTCCATACAGGTCAACGTCATCGAGCAAAACTCTGACATGCAACCTCGGATAGGTCTTACATCCTTGATGGATTCTCTCAACCTCTTCCACATAGGTTAACATCATCGAGCAAAACTCTGACATACAACCTCGGATAGGTCTTACATCCTTGGGTGGATTCTCTCGACCTCTTCCATACAGATTAACATCATCGAGCAAAGGCTCTGACATACAACCTCGGATAAGTCTTACATCCTTGGTAGATTCTCTCGACCTCTTCCATACAGATTAACGTCGTCGAGCAAAGGCTCCGACATACAACCTCGGATAGGTCTTACATCCTTGGTGGATTCTCTCGACCTCTTCCACACAGGTTAACATCATCGAGCAAAGGCTCTAACATATAACCTAGGATAGGTCTTATATTCTTGGTGGATTCTCTCCATCTCTTCCACACAGATTGGAGTCATCAGGCAAAGGCTCTGACATACAACCTCTGATAGGTCTTACATCATTGGTGGATCCAATATCGGTTAATATCATCGAGCAAAGGCTCTGATAAATAACCTCAGATAGATTATACATCCTTGATGAACGTCACAAAGAATACCGTCAATGGACTTCCATCGGACTTCTGCATAAAGTTAAATTTCTACATGATGTTGAATTTTCTATTGTCGTTGAACTTTTATCTTGCAGGACTTTCAAAGGACTAATACCTAACGTTGTATTTCTACCTGACGTCGAACTTCTCCCTGACGTTGGACTTCTGCCTGCCGTCGGTCTACTACTTATCGATGGGTTTTCGTCGGTCTACTACTTATCGATGGGTTTTCATCGGTCTTCTACCTAACACAGTACTTCTACCCGACGTTGGACTCCAACCTATCGTCGTATTTCTACTTATCGTCAAAGTACTACCCGTCGATGGACTTTCGTCAATCTTCTACCCGATTTAGTGCTTCTACCTGACGCCGGACTTCTTCCTACCGTCGGACTAAAACCTGTCGTCGAACTTCTGTCTGTCGAGGGACTTTCGTGGGTCTTCTACCCGACTCAGTGCTTCTTCCCGACGTCGAACTTCTTCCAGCCGTCAAACTAAAACCCATCCTCGGACTTCTGTCCGTTGATGAAATTTCATTGGTCTTCTGCCTGACGTAGTACTTCTACCTGACATCAGACTTTTGCCTGCCATCGGATTACTACCTATCGTCGGACTACTGCCCGTTAATGGACTTTTGTTGGTCTTCTACCTAACTCATTGCTTCTTCCCGACGTCGGACTTCTTCCTGTCGGACTAAAACTCGTCGTTGGACTTCTGTCCATCAATGGACTTTCGTTGGTCTTCTACCTGACTCAGTACTTCTACCCGACGCCGGACTTCTTCTTTCCATCAGACTAATAGCCGTCATCGGACTTCCGCCCTTCGATGAACTTTCGTCGGTCTTCTACCTGACGTTGTAGTTCTACTTGACGCCGTACTTCTACTCAACGTCGAACTACTAGTCGTCATCGGACTTCTACCCGTCGATGGACTTTTGTCAGTCTTCTACCCGATGTTGTACTTCTAACCAATGTCGTATTTGTACTCAACGTCGGACTACTACCCATCGTCGAACTTCTGCCCGTCGATGGACTTTCGTCGGTCTTCTGCCTGATGCTGAACTTTTACCCTACGTCGAAGTTCTATCTACTGTCAAATTACAACCCGTCGTTGGTTTTCTACATGTCAATAAACTTTCGTTGGTAGTTCGACCCGATGTCGTACACCTACACGACAACATACTTATACCCATTATGGGACTTTCATCGGTCTTCTTCCCGACGTTGTATCTCAACCCAACGACGAACTTCTGCATGTCATCAAACTAATTCCCATCGATCGACTTTCATCGGTCTTCTACTCGACGTTGTTCTTATACCCGACGCCGGATTTCTTCCTGCCGTCGGACTAATACCCGTCGCTAAACTTCTATTCGTCGATGGACTTCCGTCGATCTTCTACTCGACATTGTTCTTCTACCCGACGTCAA